AGTCATAGTTACTAGTCTTCTCTAAACTCTATGTGTTCCACAATAAAAGTAACATTCATAACAAATTATGTTAGCGTTATGCATTTCATTTACAAATGTTGTTCATTTTTTTTAATAATTTACATTTTCTTGCTTAGAGATGTAATTATTGTTGACGTCATTGCCGCACATCCGTTTTTATTCTTCCGAAGTTGCACCTGGAGCACTCTAAAATACATAATATTTCATATACACAATAAAAAGATTCGTTCAATAATTGCAAAGAATCAAATACCTCCTTTAATTTTTTTAGAACAAAGGCAGCTGCCTTACGAACCACTCGCGTCTTGCCGTTATAATAGTAAACAGGACTACTAACCTCACCTACACAACATTTCACGTAGTACCTGACTGGAGACTTACGTATATCTGCACTTATGTGGTAAAACGGCACCGCCAAACTATGATTGGTGCAATAATCCAGTAGATCAGATATTCCATTTTTAGCATCATTCAACGAACCGTCCGAACTCATCCTTCAAGTTGTATTTATAAGAAATCTTACAAAACTGCAACTTTTTACCATCCAATTGGACCGTACCGCACTGAACGACGAAAATTCTGAAGTGACAACCTAAGATACTTCCTGGTTGATGTTGAAGTGAAAAGCTACTCAGCAATATCGTTTGTCACTTTAAAGCAAATCGCTTTAATGCAAGAAGCTTATAGTAGTCTTCGAAATACAAATGAGAACGATTGTATAAAGTTCTTCTCTTGACTTTATCGTTGTCAAATTTTTTTTTTATTTTTAATGTTTCATGTCAAGAATACGAGGGTAAGTTAATAAGTTTTTAAAAATACTTCAGATGGCGCTCACAGTGTTATTTTTCAGTGCTGTAGGTCGTTATAATTCCATATTATTTTTTGAATGAAACTAATACAAGGGTTTTAATTCAATTTTGCTTATAAGCACAACTCATTTCAATTACACTAAAGAATAAATTATTCCTCGTTCTTTTCAAGCTCTGTTTAATATACTTCAGTTTATCTTAGCCAAAAAGTTTAAGTATTTACTCTTTAGCTGTAAAACTTAGCGAACACGGAACTAAAATAAATTTTCAGTGTTCGCTATGTTTAGAGTTAAATTTCTTCGTGTAAATATTAAAAAAAATTGTCAAATTTTCGTCCATATTTTAATATTTATATTGAATGAATTATTAAAGCGATTATAATTTCTATATTGGAATTTTTGATTTAGTATTTACTGAATAAATAGACTTCAACAAATAGTGCGTCCTTATCTTGCACATCTGCATTAATTTTGAGCGGATCTTGCATGGCAATTGCAACTAAAATAGTCCCGAAAATAAGCTATGCTATGTTTAGACTATTGTACTAAACTCGACAAATTAGCAGTCGAGTTAGACTATTTGCAATTTTTCGTACAAAATCCATGTAAGCATATTTAGCATATGCGGTTAGATAACTGTAAGTGTAAATAAAGTATTAAGTACGATAGTGTAAACACACCATTATTTTTTTTGGATTGATAAATCCGTGCTAAACTTTTCAATCGAAATTTCACCTTTAAAGAATATTTGCATGTTCGATTCATACATCTCAAGCAAAATGTATTTATTGAGTGAAAGTATAAGATTTTTATATAACACTTAGATATTTTGCCAGAGTAAGAAAAGAGTAAGAGTTGATTGATACGTCTTTTTCACTGTTATTTAAAATGCCACAAGTAAAGTTACTACGATTTGATCAATTATAAAAAAAAAATAAAATAATAGTATTAGCTTATTTACCGATATCACCGTATACTTTCAATATATAACATACATTTAAAATGTGAAATCATTTTATGTGAAATCAATTATCATTTGCATTCAAAATCAATGTTTATTTTAAAATATCTTGATATATTAATGTAGTTGTCAGATAGTAAGATAATCCTAAAAATATTCGATTGGACCCAAAATTAGAGCAAATACGACACAGAAAGATCAAATCCAAACTTAACAATCGAAAACGTCATTAGTCAAATCTTCGGAGAACTCAGTAGAAGATTACTTTCTAATTCGTTTATAATAATATTTGTTTTTTAAATCAAATACAAAATATATAAAAATATATAATAAATATTATAAAATTATTTTAAAACAGCAATTTAATAAATAATTATTTAAAATAATTATTCGATTGCGAATGGAACATTCAAAACATTTTCATGAGAAGCTCTTTACTGGCAATCAGCTATCTAACTGACAATCTTGTAATACTCCACCAATAAGAGTTGTAATACTTAACAACTCGATTTACTCTATATACTATACATTATATACTATGCTTTTGATTCTATTTCAAATAATATCAAATAGTAAAATCTATATATATAATAATGAATGTGAGTCTGTCTGTACTCGATGGATTCAAAAACCATACAACATCCAATCACCAGGAAAATTTAGGAAATTATTAGGTATATGCCCGGGAAAGTTTTTATATATAAAATATTGGAAAAATCCACTAATTTTAACATAAATAATAATTTTATAAATTTCTGTTTCAAACTATTGAGAATTTGACAGTTTGAGTGATACTGATTCTCTTTTTGTATTGTTGTGTATCATCAATATTTCAAATATTTCAAATTTCAAATATAAGAAGTAAATACTTTCTTCAAATTTATACCCGGGAAGGTTTTTATATTTAAAATATTGGAAAAATCCACTAATTTTAACATAAACAATAATTTTATAAATTTCTGTTTCAAACTGTTGACAATCTGACAGTTTGAGTGATACTGATTCTCTTTTTGTATTGTTGTGTGTCATCAATATTTCAAATATTTCAAATTTCAAATATAATAAATAAATAATTTCTTTAAATTTTTTGTTTTTGTAAATGAATATAATAATTTTGTGATACCGTGATTGCAAAATAAAAGGAAGATTATTAAAATTAAGGAAGATATTTTAAATTATTAATTTTAAATTAGTATATTAATTATGCCACCAAAGCGAAGTGCCATTGGTCGAACTACAAATCAAGTAAAAAGGAAAAGGAAAAGAGAAGAACGATCATTAGAAACGACTGAACAGAGGCAACCAAGGCAGCAAAGGAATCGAATTCGCAGTACACAGACAAGACGAACGATCCCCTTTACAATTACAGTCTTTATTCGAGTGTAATTTTTAGAAAAATGGATAAAAAGTGTACGTATTGTGGTGAAACACCAAATATGTGCTTTGCAGGTTCACCACCTGAACCATTATTAACTTTAGCATCAGATGAAACAAGTCAATCAAAAAATTTTTTGAAAAATACACGCAAATACAATTCATGCTTCCAAACGCCATCGTTCGGAGCAACGAATATTGTTAGCGCAAATTATATGCCAACATTTGAAGTACAAGGGCAAATTTATCACCATGCTGGATCACTAAAAACCGTCATTTAACAGGCGGTCTAAACAAAATACAGTTTACTAAAAATAGAAGTCAATCTATGGCAGGACAACGTCTGCCCGGGGTTACTAGTAATAAATATTTTATCTACCAGCCTATTAAAAATAGTTACTATAAAATCAAACTTTTGATATATATATATATTGATATATTAAAACCTGCAATTTATTAAACAAAATTTTTATCCGAGCTGAAAGTGTTAACATACTAACAGCTAATATTCGTTTTCTTATTTTAGTTATAAAATTTTACATCTTGTAATTATAATTAAAATAAATTGCAATAAAATAAACAGCTCCATTTTTAACATATATATTAATTAAATTATAAAAAATTTCATAAATTATACCAACTCCTATTACCTTCAAAGATTCTATATAGGTATGGATTTGATGGTATATGACTTAAAAAAATAAAACAAATTTCACAGCCTAAGTAGTAGCCGACATGAACGGTTAAGAACTACAATTCCTTTTTTAGTTCTTTCTTAAAAGTATGCACTAATTTATTATATTATTGTATGAACCAGGGCTTATATTCCATGAAAACAATCTTTTAAAAGCTGAACATCTTTATATACATATAATTAACGCCTTGATATCAATTATAAAAACTCACATTTCGTCTGTTGAATTCTAAGTCTCTACAGTTTCACATCAAGAAAAGAAAAACTTGTTTACTGTTGTATTGACTTTATGTCAAAATAACTTTGATGAGGTAATTGATTAATATATAATGTACATATAGTCCACTTACAAAATACTTATATCGAAACAAACAAAACCAATGATATATAGGCAATAAACTAAACTAAACAATTTTTTTCACTTTCAAACATTTTTTTTATTTTCCGTTATTATATTGCTTACGTGGAGTTTACTCTTTATTTACTATGCTTAGAACCATTAGATATTTGAGAATTGTTAAAGTTATCCTGTAACGCATAAAATTTCAAATAAATTATAGAAATATAATTATTCTAAAGTCCACCTCTTTCAGTGTCCGCAAAACATAAATAGCTGATTTTCGAACTGCCATATCCTGATCATGATAATAGTAAATTGGGCTGGAAATTGTGCCTACCATGCACTTCACAAAGTACTTGAAAGGCACCTTGATTGGATCGGTGTGTATATAGAAGAAAGGGTACGGAAGCATTAATTGTCTGCAATAGTCCTGGAGTTCTCTAACTGCAGGTTCCTTGGAGTCAAACAATGGATAAACATGCATTCGTCTTCCCTATAAAAATTTGAATAAATAAATAAATAAATTTTAAATTCTTTCTTACGAACACTCACGAGAAACATTGAAAAAGCATTAAAATCCATATTGAGCTCAAACGTATACGATCGTCGCAAACTTCTAACGAACTGATCTTCAGTTTCACTTGGAACAAAAATATTATTTTTTATTTTCTTTCAAACATTATTTATCGTTAGTTGCTTCTTTCTCACATACTTTCAGTGTTGTGTTTTACTAGAATTCATGAGGTTGACAAAATATTTTCTTCAGTTTTCTGCTTTAAATAGTAAGTTTTTATATATTCTATTTTATGTAAAATGATATAATAGTTTTCTTCAATACATGGAATCAGTCGTTTTAATTCCTTATATTTAGATTTCGTCAAATTAAAATTAAATATTAGTTATTAAATAAAGTTATTAAGCATGTAAAACAGCTGATAAAAATTCTAATAATTCGATTTGCTAAGATTGGCGTATAAATTTACCATGTCCTTCTAAATAATACCTCGATACCTAGTGCTTCATAGCTTGCTCAATAGTTCAATAGTTTTATATATTAAATAGATATTTTTCACCTTATTCTTTTGCTAAGTAACTTTGTTTAAACTTGATTAAAGAGTGTCATACTGTGTGCTACTCCCTTATCATATCCGAGCAGTTCTTTAAGAAACAATTGTCGCTAGGCACTAGTACACGATGTAGTCCAAAGGAACTAATGAAATGAGTGGTCCGTAGGGATGAGTTCAATCGCCACTTAGAATATATAAATTTCTAAATACTTCTTTGTACAAAATTTAATAGGGCATTCTATTATTTCTGAACAGGAAAAAACGTAAACAAATGAGAAGCAAAGAAATTCAATTACATATTAGAATTATTTATTTTGGAACTAGTGCATATTCTGATCCCTGGTAATGCAACGATTCACCAGTTGAAACAAAAATCCGCTGCTTATGCTCGTTGTATATAAACAAATTCCGAGCAATATGCTTCGTTAGCTTTTTTTTTAAATATATATATAGTGGACTGTGAACCTATGAATGATGTTGGTCTTACTTTCGATAAACATCGCTTTTACTGCCACTTTTTTGCAAATAATTTTAAAAATGCAATACAAAAATATGTAAAATTATATGTAATAATATCTGGAATTAATATAATTAATAACAGAACGGTATACATAAGTCACTAAAACACGCTGCGATGACAACGAATGAATGTGACCAAACTCCATGTAAGTACCAAGTTCAGTTAAAATAATAGCGTATAAATAAATTATTTTTTTCGTTATAGACAATGTTGCAACATCATCTATAGATCATCAGTTAAATCCCTCTACGATCGAATATAACCAAAGCACAATCAACTAGAAAGTAATTTATTAATACAAAAATATTTAATATGTATATGGACATATATTAAAATAAATATATACATATATAATAATATAAAAAAGGCATGTTTGATTTATTTTCCAAATGAAGAATTATTAAAAATACTAGTGCCGCGGTGTATAGCGCGGATACAATTGACAACATTCTACCCATTATGAACTAGTGAAAAGACTAGTGCCGCAGTGTATGATACTGGGACAATTGACACCATTCTACTCCTTATGAACTAGTAAAAAGACTAGTTCCGAGGTGTGTCGTACGGGGACAATTGACACCGGCAATGATAACTCAATGTAAAATTCACCAGTTGAGCCCACGTAAAGTGGATTATGAAACGACTAGCGATAAAACACACCTGGGGACTAGTGAATTCACTAGTTCAGAACTAGTCATAGGCGCTGCTGGGATAATCTTAACATAGCTACAAACAAAATCATAGTCTAATCTTATAAAATTTCAATCCAAACTATTTTTTATTAATGTTAAAGATACGGGGTAGGAGCAGATGCTACGTTTTATTGTGTCCTTTAGTACTTAACACATTAAAGCTGCTTGATTTATTAATTAATTCATTAATGTTAGTATACTTAAGTACTTTTTTATTTATTAATTATTATTCCTAACTCCCAGTGGAGCATACTGTTTCAATACCCTTTCGAAAGCAAGTACTGTTGCGAGTTTCAGAGTATACTTCTCTAAAATAAGTGTAATAGAAACTCCGAAATCTATAATGATTCGAACAAAACTTTAAGTAATCAGCAGGAATATTCTACGTGTTCATGGAAACTCATACCCTCTAAAGTATATAGTCGTTGAGATATGATAGTTAACCTATCTTTAACATTTTCAACTTTCTTCAATGCTGTTATAAACGGACATCCTGAGAACTCGTTCAACTGATCCCGAGGAAATACTTGAAATTATCATGAGATAATAGTACAGTTACACTGAACTGTGACCAGTGGTACATTATGTACATAAACCATACTGTACATTAATTATTTTTGGTAAGTAATTCTAAATATGTATTTATTGGCAAGGCATTTAAGCATATTGAGAAATGGTCTGCATATTAATATTAACAAATACTTTTAAATTATTGAATCTAGCGAAAATAAATTGTACCATTTTAATAGACGATAAGGCTACTGATTTTTAAAACAATTCCTCGATACCACTATAGGTTAACATGTCCATATAAGTCTGAGAAAGTCTGAGAAAGTCTTTTCAACTGATAATTTATTTATCAGTACATCACTCCCAGACTTTCCATTTCTTCATGTTGGGTTTAACTATATATCTGAAGCTCATCTAATGTAATTAGATTTTTTTACTGTTTATTTTTTGTATATATTATTAACTTTGTGACATGATCGTCTCTTGAACAAACCTTACCTTTATTTAAATTTTTAAATTATACTATCTATTTTATAGTAATATTAGATAATATTAGATTTCTAGATTTCTTCCATTATTATTATTATTTATACATAAGTAATTATTTACCGAAGTCATCTTATGTCATAAAAGAAATGGTAACACCCATTGATGCATTAAGCATAATAGTGTCAAAAAAAATTTATTAGTTTTAAAATTATTACTTAAATATATATAAACAAATAAATAAATAGTTGAATAAATCAATATTAAATAAATATTAATAAATATTAAAATTTTGATATATTAAAAATGTCTTTAGAAAGACCGAAAAGAGCTTTCAGTTTGTCAAAAGAGTGCTACCAGAACACAAATAATCTCTCAAATGATCGTTTACAAGATTTTTCAGTGTGGCGAGCTGATAAAGATATTTTTCTAAAAGTTGGACCAACTTAGACCACTAAATATTCTAAATTTGAAAATAAAATAAGTACGTCTTCTATTTCTATATGTTATTATACAAGAAATGTGCTTTTTTTATTGTTTATATTGACATTTATTTGCGAAACAAATCTGAGTTCGATTTATTTGTATTTTAAGTCGGACAGGCAGTTAAGACAGACAGATAAACATTCGTCATGAATATGATTATGTGGCTCATACGATATCCGATGTAAGTTCATCATCAAGTTTAGTCACATGCACTGGTTGATAGCAAAAACAAAGTATAAACAATATACAATTCACTGCATAAACAATAGCACCAACATTACAGAGAAAACGACACATACTTACGTACATATACATACATACGTACATACGTACATACGTATTTGTATTTAAGTATAAAACGTATCTCATACAATAAATAAACAATTCATTCTATATAAAAAAGTAGTTGTTCGTAATAGTTTTTTTGAATGATCTTAAAAAACGTCATAACAACCACCCATAAGAGATCATCTAAAGTGCTGATATTGTATAAAGAATTAGGCCTTTCGTTTTAAATGTGGCACAGTGGAGGCTCAAATATTAGAATTAGTTATCTCCTGTGTATTCTGATAATAGGATTTGCCGGGAAATCACCATACTGACTATATTTTGTTCTGCCATTGTAGGAAAACATTAAGAGGTATTCAGACTTGCTCGATAAATTTGTTGTGCAGTAAAGTATTAAAATTTTAATATCAGTTTTAAATTAATTTTAATTTGATTTTAACGAATCAAATCAAAAACACTTCTTTTCTAATTTTTAATTGTCGACTGTTGTATTATTAAGTAGATTTTTCCTTTGAGATATTAAAATTTACAGTCTTGTAAATTTTGCTGTTGAAATGTACCCAAACAAAAATCTTTGTCCAATCATATCTACTTTATTTTCACGATCTTTCATCTTAATAAAAATGATAAACTGATACCTTATAAGCTGCGAAATTCTTAGCAAGCAATTTGTAGAAATTGAACTAGAACTATGTAACAGTGACTGTTCCTTTTCGAGGCATCTCTTCAATAACATTAAAGACTTCTTTAACGTATTACAACCTAAGTCAGTGATCAGATGTTATTACTGAGCAGTAATTACCGACCAAAAGCAAGCTTTGTTACTCGGGTAACAGAGTATTACCCGGGTTATGTTCAAAGGCTGAATACAAACTGAAAGCGAGGTATATAAAAAAGTCAGCGAGGAACGATTAGAGTAAATTTTTCAACGAACTTGCAAAACACGCCGAAGAATAGCTGCTTCTTCTAGGCTAAGACACACCAAGAAGTTGTACGAAATTACCAAACAGCTAACTGGTAAAAATAACTTTCGAAATAAACCTATAAAAGAGAAACTAAAAAATTTACTGACAAATAAAGAACAACAACTAAACAGATGGGCCCATTCTTCGAAAGTATTTCAAACAACCTAGAAACCAACAAATCAGCGGAAATAGCTCAAGTCGAAGATTTGCGAATCTATACGCAATTCCAACACATCAGCACGAGTGCTGTGCTCCAACGAGGCAAGAAGTGATAAAGGCAATTAAAGCTCTGTAAAATGGCAAAACTGCTGGTATTGACAATGTATTTGGTGAATACTTAAAAATAAGCCCAGAATTAGCAGCAGATATTTAGCCTCCAATAACACAATCTATTAGAGACAATGAAACTATATCGAAGACAGAAACGAGTGTATCTTAGTAAAAATTCCTGAAAAAGGCGACTTGATTGACTGCAATAATTAAAGAGGCATCATATCACTCCCCATACTAAGTAAAATACTCTCTTGGATAATTCTGTCAAGAACGTCAGCAAGCGTGAAGAGAAGTTCACGAGAAAAACAATATGGCTTTCGACCAAGCCAGCTAC